TCTTCTCATATTCTTATTAAAATCTTTCTTACATTGTTGTTTTTCTTCTGAACATTTTTGTGAGTAGAAAAAAAGAACTCTCAATTCATATAGATTACAAGTTTGTAAGATTCAAACTAAAGAGGAGATACTACTGTAATCTAAGTATTTTCATTTTTCCTGCTTCTGAATATAAATTCATCTTGTGGGGTTTATTGTAATCTCTAAAACAGAAAGAAAGGGACACTCTAGAGAAAATGGAAGAACAAATAACAGTGCCCCCTTTTTTGGAGGAAGGACAAAAAAATGCTTATCATTTATTTCAGTTTTGGAAATTTAAGGCTTAAGACCACTTGAGATATTTTTACTGTGACAACTTCACTTAGTGATTATGAGAAGATTTGAAACAAATAGAGGAAAATTTTAGAATGATCAAATTTTTAAGAGCACATAAACCAATTAAGATTAGAACATTTCCATAGACCACTTGTATATATATATCGTTGTTTTGAATTAGCTTACTGTCATGAGTTGAAGTTTCTTGAGTTCTTAGCCTTTAGGCATACATACTCACATTTCTCCTGCTTGAGCGAGCACTATTTAAACATGTCCAGGTTGTTATAATGTCATTGTTATAGTTTTAGCTTAATATTCTTATAAATGTTTATTTTTTAAGCTTTTTATTTTTTTAATAGATCTTTATTGGAGTATAATTGCTTCACAATACTGTGTTAGTTTCTCTTGTACACCAGAGTGAATTAGCCATATGCATACATATGTCCCCATATCCTCTCCCTCTTGAGCCTCCCTCCCATCCTCCCTATCCCACTCCTCTAGGTCATTGCAGAGCACCGAGCTGATCTCCCTGTGCTATGCTCCTGCTTCCCACTAGCTAACCATTTTACATTCGGTAGTGTGTATATGTCGATGCTACCCTCACTTTGCCCCAGCTTCCCCCTCCCACCCCGGGTCCTCAGGTCCATTCTCTGTGTCTACATCTTTCTTCCTACCCTGCAACTAGGTTCATCAGTACCTTTTTTCTTTTTAGATTCCATATATATGCGTTAGCATACGGTATTAGTTTTTCTCTTTCTGACTTACTTCACTCTGTATGACAGACTCTGGGTCCACCACCTCACTACAAATAACTCAATTTTGTTTCTTTTTATGGCTAATATTCCATTGTATATATGTGCCACATCTTCTTTATCCATTCATCTGTCAGTGGACACTTAGGTTGCTTCCATGTCCTAGCTATTGTAAATAGTGCTGCAGTGAACATTGTGGTACATAACTCTTTTTGAATTATGGTTTTCTCAGGGTATATGCCCAGTAGTGGGATTGCTGGGTCGTATGGTAGTTCTATTTTTAGTTTTTTAAGGAAGCTTCATACTGTTTTCCATAGTGGTTGTATCAATTTGCATCCCCACCGACAGCGCAGGAGGGTTCCCTTATCACCACACCCTCTCCAGCATTTATTGTTTCTAGATTTTTTGATGATGGCCGTTCTAACCGGTGTGAGATGATATCTCATTGTAGTTCTGATTTGCATTTCTCTAATGATTAATGATGTTGAGCATTCTTTGATGTGTTTGTTGGCAATCTGTATATCTTCTGTGGAGAAATGTCTCTTTAGGTCTTCTGCCCATTTTTTAATTGGATTGTTTGGTTTTTTTTTTGATATTGACCTCCATAAGCTGTTTGTATATTTTGGAGATTAATCCTTTGTGTGTTGTTTCATTTGCAAATATTTTCTCCCATTCTGAGGGTTGTCTTTTTGTCTTGTTTATGGTTTCCTTTGCTGTGCAAAAAGCTTTGAAGTTTAATTAAGTCCCATTTGTTTATTTTTGTTTTTATTTCCGTTACTCTGAAAGGTGGGTCAAAAAAGATCTTGCTGTATTTTATGTCAAAGAGTGTTTTTCCTGTGTTTTCCTCTATGAATTTTATAGTGTCTAGTCTTTCATTTAGGTCTTTAATCCATTTGGAGTTTAT